AAAAAATGCTGTGCTAATAACAGCATTAGTGGTAGTGTGACCACTTATCATTATGTGTTTGTGACTAACAAATTTCCCCAAACATAGAACTTCCGATGTTCTGGAACGGGGAGAGTTGGCTGGCAGAGTGACAGTGGTACAGCACCTGCCTAGCAAGTCTAAGATTCTGAGTACAAACCCCATACCACCACCACCACCAAAAAAAACAAAAAACACCTGGGAGAGTCCCAGTGGCCTGGGCTTATAAAATTCAATAGTAAAGCACTTGCTTAGCATGCAACAAGGATCCTAGACACTATCCCCAGCTATGGAAGGAAAAAAAACAGTTGGTCCTGAACAAACCAGGACAAACTGGTCCTTGTAATTTATGGAGATTAAAATAAAAACTATTGTTACTCAGGAAAATGAAAGACAGAAGCTGTTCAATGATATTTAGATTTTATACTTACCAGAATAAACACCTACATGGAAAATAATTTGGGAATTTTTGTAATACCAGGGATTAAACACAGGGACTCATACATGTTTGGCAAGTACTCTACCACTGAACTATATACCTCAAGCCATTTTCTTGGTGGTTGCTGTGATGCCGAGACTAAAACCCAAAGCTAAAACAACTCTTTATCAAGGTTTATTAGGAACATAGTATTACAATCAAAGTAACACACACAGTACTTACAAAAGACTAGCTGCTTCCTGGAATGCATTGACAGCTGCTGGAATATCCCCCATCACTAGATGTTTCTGTCCTAATCCCAATAGTTTCTTTGCTTCACTATCCACATCCAGACTGCAAGAAAAAGATTTCATTTCAGTGTCAAATATTGCTTAAATCAACATATGCTACATTCAAACCACAATACTTTTGACTACTGACAAGATATAATTAACTCACACATATATACCACTGCAAAACCAAAGAAATCTCAAAGGCAGTATTTTTAAGTTTCACTAGAACTTTTTAAAGGCTTATTTACTTAGATAACATGAGATATTACTATAAATATATGCTAATTAAGCAAGAAAAAAGGAATCATAAAATCATACAAGTTGTACTAGCTAAAAGAAAAATTAAAACCAAAAAGTGGGTTAGGTTGGGTTGGGAATGCAGCTGACTGCACTCAGGTAAAGCACTTGTCTAGAAAACAAGAGATTTCAATCTCCAGCACCAGAAAGACAAAGAAGTGGGGAAAAAAAACACCACTTAGGTAAATGGAGCAAGAGACAGAGGTCTCAAAACCAAGACAAGGTGGTACTGTTATAAAGAAAGGCAGTAAGGCCAGGTGCCGGTGACTCATGTCTGTAATCCTAGCTATTCAGAAGGCAGAGATCAGAGGGATCATGATTTGAAGTCACCTGGGAAAAGTAGTTCTCAAGATCCTACCTCGAAAATACCCTATACAAAACAGGGCTGGCAGTCTGACTCAAGTGGTAGAGTGCTTGCTTATCAAGTGTGAGACCCTGAGTTCAAAACCCCAGCCTAATCAAATAAAAAAAAGGCAAATAAGTTGAGTAAGACAGAATAAGGTAAAAAACAGATTCATACATATTCAATTTTAATAAAGATGCCAAGGCAATTCAACGATTCATCAATAAATGATGTGGCAATAAATGACTACCCACATGCAAAAAAGTGAATGCAATCCTTATCTCACATCTTTTTTTTTTTTTTTGTGGCACTGGGGTTTGAACTCAGGGCTTTGCACTTCCTAGGCAGACAGACACACTACCATCTGAGCCACATCTCCAGTCTTATCTCACATCTTAATATAAAAATTAACTTGAAGCTGGGTGTCAGTGGCTCACACCTATAATCCTAGCTACTTGGGAGGCTGACATTGGAAGGATCATGGTTCAAGGTCAGCCCAGGCAAATAGTTCTCCAGACTCCATCTCAAAATAACCAGAACAAAATGGACTGGAGGCATGGCTCAAGCAGTAGAGTACCTGCTTTGGAGACATGAAGCCCTGAGTTCAAACTCCAATCCAAATAAGTAAATAAATGAGTAAATAAATAAAATGGATCAGTCTTAAGATTTTAGGACAGTAAAACTTCTAGAAGAAAATATAGCAGGGTTGGTGGAGTAGCTCAAGTTGTAGAGCACCTGCCTAGCAAGCATGAGGTCCTGAGTTCAAACCCCAGTACCACAATAGAAAGAGAGAAGGGTGGTAGTGAGGGAAGGAATATATATAGGAGAAAACAGTGACTTTGGTTTGGCAGGCTTCCCTAGCAGACCATTAATGAGTAATTTTGCTTTCCGAAAGACACTATTAAAAAAAAAAAAAAAAA